TATCAAAGCCGAGACTCATGTTTGATGTGTTGTACAGGCTACAGAACTGGATTGGATGGTGGCCTCCTCCGATTCGAGCGACTCAGCCAATTAGTGTTCCGTATTCTGTCCTCCGTACGCAGGTATGGTGTAAAAAGTGTGTGTAGGCTGTAGGCTGTAGACACAAGATGCATGATGATGACTGCTGCGCATCTGGCGCCGAAAGGGTTTTAAGACCAATGGTAATGGCATAATGCGCGAGGCGGGTGGTGATTCGTGACAGTGGCCGTGGCCGTGAATGATGGCGGGCGGGCTCGGTGGGTTGGGTGGTTGGGTCTTCAAGGCTCGCTCCTCCTCGCTCCTCCTCCCTCACCAGCCACCGCCCAACGAAACAACGAAACGCGACACAGCGCTTTACTGGAACCACATCGAACGACTCTGGACAAAATGATACCTATGATATTTATAAATAATTATTTGACTATCGCATACCCATACATATTGATTATGAGCGAGAAAAATAGTAGTAAAATAGCATATTTTATCATAATAATACAGAATACGCATACGTCAGCGGCAGAGGCCGGCCAGAGCTGGCGTAGCGTTTTGCCCGCAGACAGACTTCTAGAATTTGAGCTCTAGGCCTTCTTAGCCCCCTGCCCATGTTTGAGCAGGGGTTGTTAGCGCTGTCAAAGACCTGTCTGCCAAGTGTCACTAGCCTGCTTCAGTATAAATGAGCAGGGTTCGGGAAATGGGGCGGCGGGTGCGCTAGCCGAATGGATATCTAGGTACCTAAGTACCTAACTGGAAGACGGAAAATAAAAGGGTCGGGCACCTTTGACTTGTCATTTTCAAACATTTTCAAATATCCAAGCGCAAACAAGCAATCCCTTGAGTGCAATGTCGTCTGGTGGCATGTTATATGCTAGTCTCTACTATGTACAGTGGTAGACGCTGTATGTACAGAATATACAAGTATGTCTGTCTATGCTGACAAGCTGATGCACCCATCGGAGCTGTCTTCCTCAAAAATGCCACCGAAGATGATACCTTCATTGATGTCCGGTTCCTGTTCTCCGTTCTTCACGATATCGTCGCCGCCATTCAGGCCCTTTTTCAAGACGCCAAAATGGAACTGCCCTTGACCACTGACATCGTTGGCGAGTGCCTGGGTCTGCGCAACTAGCGCGTCGTTGTCTTGCGAGTAGAAAACTTGGGTAGTCCTAAGTTCATCCGCCTTGTCAGTCACACCATCAGGCTTGGTAAGGTATTCTGAAACACTCACAAAGCATTGAAGTCCAGTGTAAGCGCAAAGTTATGGAATACATCCTCGGTGAAGGGCGTGCTGAATAGAGTCTGCACCGGATTCGCATTCACGTTGCCAAACAGCTGCAGGGTGTCCGGGTCCGCGGTATTCGCACCGAGGATCGTCCCCGTCTTCAACACAACCTGGTTTGTGCTGAAGTCGCTGCTTTCTAGAAACACGAGCTGGTACTCGTGAGTCAGATTGAGTGGCCGGTCCGCATCTTTCTTGACGCTGAAGTGAAGCGTTTTGACTCCCGTCGTCGACGCATCGGTCCCGTCGTTGCTGGCTATAAGCAGCTCCGCCCTCCGGAATCCCGTTTGTACATTGTCCGCGCTTGGCGCAAAGATTGATTCGTCACTATTTACTTATTAGCAGGCTTTTGTATACTCTGTCTTAAGACTTCATGCTTACTTTATAGTGACTTCCACAGGGAGGGTATCAACGTCAAACTATAATAATACCAGTGTAAGCGTGAGTAGAAAACAATGGGGGTCTCGCGCGCTGCCTACGAGTGACGATAGTGTATTCTGTATCTCCACTATCGAACCAAGGTTTAATCCTATTCTCATTAGTGTCTATGCGCGCGCATGTTGTACGAATATGAATATCATACCTTTGCCAAAAACATTATCAGGGTTGAAGACCCCATTATTGCTGTCGAACGTCGCAGCAACAAAATTAGACGGCACCCGGCCGTCAAATTGAAGATCACACTGTTGCGACATAACCAGCGTAGGAAGTATCGCCAGGAAAGAAACGAAGTGGTAGCCAGCCATGATTGAAAATTGAAAATTGTGAATTAATATGATATCCCTGAGATTAATCGAATTACACCGGTATGTGTTCGATCAGTTCGAAGGACTGGCTGGCGTCTTATATATAAGGGCGATCTCATCTCGTATTCCAAAGCGACTACAACAAAGGGTCGTCGGAAGTCGTAACAGGCTAAAGAATTAGATGAAACTGTCGGCCATTTTTCTATCTTAAATCATGGAGCTCGACTTTAGAATCCGGCTGCTGTCAGTGACTTGCATGAAGCCCCTGATTTGCGGGTGCAAATCCGACGATCACGCCCGGACAGCCCGGAGACAGTCTAACTGGCGCCGCCAAACTCCATACCCCATACCAGTGACGCCCCGATACGTGAAATCATGCCCGTTTTGTGAATAGTTACACCTTCGGCAGGGTTAAATTCTATGAATAAATCGGAAGCTTCATCTACATGTGCTCTTCTCTTATTGTAATAACATGTGTGAAGAGGAAGAATCCAATCAATATTGATTGCGATTAATGAGGGAAAGCTAAAATGACCGAAACGCTAGATACTCGGCGTAGTTCATTCTAGGTGACATCGTCATAAACCCCCTGCTCGATAATGTAGACTCATAACTTCAATCTCTTAGCAAAAGGCTAAGCATAGCCACAATCTTGCTCTAAAAGGTCTTCGTCGCCATTGCCAAGTCATAATCCACGTACTCGGTTGTGTTAGGCATCTCACTAAACCATCCGCTACTGTTTCCCTGTCGGCAGATAATCACTATCAGCAAGTGTGACGATTATGGCCAACGCAATATCTCAGCCATCACATATAGGTCTACTTCACACCCATCCTCACTTAGATTTGTTCCAATCGGCATCATCCCGGCGCTTGATGAGTGGAGACCTATGATAGTTTTCGCCCGTCTTGTTTACTTTCGAAGCCGAGGTATTTTGGAATGGCCGATTTGCGGGCGCCGAGCCGTATTGGATGGTCCAGGCACTGGTGCCACGGTAATGCAGGGTCTCCGAGACGGCTCCTCATTCGACGAAATTAGGGCGTGCCCAGTTGCAGACGCGAGAGTTGCGGGCGATGGTTCAGGCGTTGCATAGGCCCTTAGTATATCAGCGAAAAATACACGAGACGGCGACCCTGGGGGCGTGTATGATGTTGTATCGCTGTACTCAGGCTTGTCTTGAACAGGAATCTCAAGCGAAGGCGAGAATATGACTTGACTAGTCGGCGATGCTGTAGCAGTGTCTTTAGGCGAATAGCTTGTGCTAGCCACTTCTGCGGCTGAAATCTGCGTGACGTTGGGCAGTTTCTGACTCTTGCAATTGTTTGGGTCGTGCCATTCCCCTGGAAACGACTTGAAGGAAGGTAATAGGGAGTGTTCTTGATCACAGCCACATGGCAGCTCAACCCTCAACTCATCATCCTTGTTGTTGAATCGTTGTTTGAGCTCTTTTTCACTCTCGATAATATCTGCCCGGCCACTTAGATCACTGATATGAAGAGCATATGTCCGACTTACTTATCAGGTTATCCGCAGCCTGCATAGGGTCTTCAACTCCAACTTGATCCATATCCACGATAATAATAAACATGCGGTCTTGTCTCCAGATCTGAAATGAATCTGGCATGGTGGCTATCGGATTGTATCTGGATGCAAATAGTCGTCTTAGCTCATCTACTGAGCGCATCTGACTCTACTATTGCGTTATTACTAGTCTCTCCTAAGTAGGATGCGGATTGTAGAGCCTCTTACATCGTTAAAAGTGACCACGAACTTGTTTGTCCTAAGCTTAGCATCTTGTGCTTGAAACCCTAGGAGAGGGACCTGTAGTGGACGAATGGAAGTCATTGGAATACTAGATAATATTCTTTCCGTCATAGACGAGGATTATAGTTATCGTTGTGAGTAATGGAACAATTTTTAATCTTAGTGGCCGCGGATGTGGCCGTTTTTATATTACAAGGCAACTACGTTGGCAACATACAATCTTAACATCTAGACCATACTTGAATACACAAAATGTCATTTGACCCATTTTGTTTCGTTCACTTGCAGCCTACATGTGTTACCATATATGGATGCACCGGTTAGGTAGGACCTTGATGTTTATTTCTTTCCGTAAGGCATTCTCTACACTAATGAAGCGAAGCGTTTATGCGTATGCTATAAGAAGTTCGTTTACCATAGTCCAATAGTAGGTACCAATCTGCAACAAAACCTAATCGACACTTGATATACTATTATTCATAGGAAAAACAGGTGCTAGATTGTTGTGCTAGCTTTTGTGTGTAAGGCTGGTACACGATAAAGGGTAATTAGGTGCAAATTTTCTAAGTCACACGACAACGTTATTCATTATTTAAGGTCCTCTATTTTGAAACTTATCTCGTTTCGTGTGCCGGTGTACAAATGACGAGTATATATTATACTGCTCGTACAGTGACCTATTATTAACGTATGTAGAAATTTAGCCTCAAATAGAAGCACGATTATGCACTTCATATAAACAACCTGCTGACTTATTCATTCCCAGCCGTGTGACAGTTCTTAGGTGGCTATGACTTCATCTTATCTGGTCTTTAGAATAGTCTACATCTATTTTGTGCAATATGGTCATAGCCTACGCCATTAGGTAGTGTCCATGGTCATATATAGTAGGTTACGTAGGTAGTAGACAAGGCTCACGCCCCGACTTAGGTATTCTGGTTCCTTTGGCTACAAGATTTCATGGCTATATGGGCACACACTGATGAATACAGACGTCAAAAGCATAAGTTTCACTTCAGTACAGCCAGGACTAAAAGATGCGAAACTCAGAGCTATCAGACCATATTAGGTACACGAAGGTGGCTATTATATCCGGGAGGATACAGTGTGGCGATGAGTAATAGGTAGGTCGACTAATTATAATATTTAAAACCTAGCTACTGTAAGTTAACAAACCCAAAGTAGTGTAGTGGTAACACGCCCTTTGACACGCGGTCTTCTCAAGAAGCCGTGCCTTCGGGGGTGGGAAACCCAGGTTCGATTCCTGGCTTTGGACTTTCTAATATTTTTTTTCCTACAGATCTTTATTGTTATAAATACAACATGCTCGCTTCCAAGGTATGTGCTAAAGATCTCTCATTGAACCTTTTGCAATACCTCTATATTATCTTGCAAAGCATTAGCCAATATCTCCTGACCCACGAGTCTCACTAAGGATGTATGAGGTGTGTTGGATATAGGATGTAAGGTAATCGTAGGCAAAACGTGAACCCGGCCGAAAAGAAAATTTGTGGCGAGGGACAGGGGTAATTAGTGGCAATATATTCATTTATCTACAAAACGTTGTCTAGGCTCTTGGTGCCGAGACATATTTTGGGATGAGACTGACAAAGTTCGACAGTACTCCGCCGATTCGTTTTGCGTTTATCCTTCGCTTCTCGCATCTGATTTATAATTTTGGGATACCCACTACGCGGGTCAGAGAGGATGAGTAGAAGTGCTATATTGCTAACTAGAACATAAATCTGACCTATGCAAGTAGTGATCCATGGAGAAAGCATCAACCCGTAGAGAGTTTGAAGGGCTATGATCATGCGAATACTTCAGCGAACTTCAGGCGCCGATACGGATGCTTCCGCAATTGCGTTGAAACAGCAGCGCCTAATCGTGGGGTAAGTTGATTGAGAAATGTCTTCACATATTTTCTGGTCTTCTGAACTCTAATCCCGGCTCGTATTTGGCCCAGGCGTCTTACGCGTTGAATTGCACTGCGTATTGACATTGACGAGAGCTTAGCACTGGAGAATGCCCACAACATGAAGAAAACAACGCTGTTTACTAGGCGGGAACCTGTCGATCCGTGCCAGGGGGAGACATTAACATGGGAGGTCTTGGTTATCGAATGAATGTCGCAGCGAGAGCTTAATGTCTTGGACCGGACGAATCGACGCGCACCAATCCGGGACCTTCGTATGTCTCGAGAGTCTACCGCTCACTTCCACAAACAATCTAGCGATGGCATGCCCTTGCGTTAGGAACGAGGAGTATTGTTTTTTCGTCAGTGAACTAGTTAGTCGACATTTGTATAAAGCATGGCGGCCTCGGAACTCACAGAGATAATAAGCCAGAGATCATCAGCACCACCAGGGACAGTGAAGTAGGTAAGGAAGCCGCATAATTGTTCAAGTCGTTGTCGAAGAATATTCGAGAGTTGCACCATCATCCCTACCTCTTCACGATGTTGGCCAACATCATCCTGGCCGGGCTTATCCCCGGCATGATGGCAAAACCCATCATGTAAGTCTCCCCGACTGCGCAACGTCCGCTAGATTCTGAACTAACTCAAGGCCTTAGACGGCGAGATGCTGCAACTGCCGCGGCTGAAGCTCCGAATTACCGTGCGAGTACGTATCCAACCCCTTTGCAGCCGAGGCCCTACCCGCTCTAGGGGAAGCCAGGTTGACTCGACCTGCAACCTTGAAAAGAAGTGAATATTAACTGCTCTTGTAGGCTACGTGGTACAACCTCCGCCATCTCTATCATCATCCATATTCACCACGCACACCGCCGATCCCGCAAGCTACACCTCAGCCTACTCGGTAGCTCCCGTCTCATCCCCAACTACCACCTCTAAACATTCAGCTCTTGCGTCATTCCCTGTCGAATTACCACATACATCCACGTCTGTGACCCTGTCAGTCTCTGCGGACCCTACCCACAGTATCCAGACGCCTCCTGTCCGCCCACCCATGGCACCCTCCCTAGTAGAGCATCCGTACGCCATCCATTCTCCCCCAGCCTACTCGTCCGCTGTCGCGCCTGTGATTGCCTCGGATCCAGCGAAGCACCCATATAGCACCTCGACTCCGCCAGCCCACTCATCAGCTGTCTCGCCTGTGCATGCCTCGGATCCAGCGGTGCACCAATATGCCGTCGCGACCCCACCAGCCCATGCGTCCGCCGTCTCACCCGTGATGGCCGCGCATCCGGCGGAGGACCCCTACAGCGTCTCAGCTCCGCCAGCCCACTCGCATCCCGTCCCGGCCCCATCGCACCATGCTGACCCTACATACGGTATTGCAGCCGCAGCCCAGACCGGTGCCTCATCCGCCCGCCCAGCCATGAACGATCACTCCCTAGCTTCTGGGAGCGCCAGCCCTGCCTTCTACCACGCTAAGGGTTCGGAAAACGGGGAATGCGCCGAGCGGTGTGAGGTCAAGTGCCAGACGGCCGATATTGCTTTCGAGATCACCCAATGCAGGACCTCGTGCCTCGCGGCTTGCACCACCACCGAGAAGGCCGAGAACACCGGCGTCTACGGCTCGCCCGGCCTCTCGCCCGGCCTCATGTTTGCCAACGCCGCCGTCGCAGCCGCCACCGCACCTGAGGGGTCTTGTGCCAACAGCGACGGGGCCCACGGTAGCAACCTCAAGTCCGCTGTACCTGCGGGCCACGGACACTCAGCCCCAGTTGTCGGTGCAGAGTCGAACAGCTTCGACGCTTGCATGCGGTCTTGCAAGGGCAAGATGCAGCATGCCGATATCGCCGGGGATGTATCTCAAGGCAAACAACATTGTGAGGAGGCCTGTGCCCACCTCGCCGAGGCTAAGGTGACCATTCCCGTTAAGAGAGACTCATCGGTCGATGCTCCTTTCCGCCCTCCCCCACCTGAGGTGGAGGTTGGTAGTGGCATAGTTACCTACGAGTCTTGCATGCAATCTTGTGGTGGCAAGTGGCAGACCGCCTTTCACATCTCCCAAGGCGAGCACCACTGTAAAGAGAGCTGCGCCCGCTACGCTAAGGCGGGTACCAACCTAGTTGTGAAGAGAGAGAAATCAGTTGATGCTCCCTTCCGTGCCCACGAGCCGGAGGTCGAGGTCGGCACTGGCTTTGCTAGCTACGAAGCCTGCATGAAATCTTGCGGAGGCAGATGGCAAACCGCCTTCGGCATTTCCCAAGGAGACCGTCATTGCAAAACTTCTTGCGCCAGGTACGCGAAGGCGGGCCCGGAAGTAATCGCTAGGAAAGAGAAGCCCGTAGATGGCCCTTTCCGCGCCCCTGAGCCGGAGGTCGAGATTGGTTCAGGCGCCGAAACCTTTGAAGGATGTATGAAGTCATGCGGTGGCAAATGGCAGACCGCCTTCGGTATATCTCAAGGGAAGAAGCACTGCCAAACTGCTTGCGCTCGGTATGCCAAGGTGGGCCCGGAGGTTATCGTCAAGAAGGAAGCTCTTCCTCTGCCGGCTCACGAAAAAGGCCCATTCACTCCCCCCTCAAAATCCGTCGTTGACTCTGGGTTTACCGCTTTTGAGGCATGCAGTAAGTTATCCTGACTTTTCCCCTCGCTAGTTCTCCTCAAAACGACAGGTCCCTGTCAGGACCATATCCTGCCTTCAAACCCTCTCACTCTTAAACCTTGCTTTAGACGGTAGTTACTAACGCTAGGTGTTCTAGTGGACGGCTGTCGCGGCGAGTATCAAATAGCGCCTGGTGGTGTATCGCAGGGCAAATACGACTGCAACACTAAGTGTGCTCGGTACGCTAGCTTTGGTACTAGCATCCTTGGCAGGCGGCAGGTCGCGTAGGCACGCGACCGATCTTTGCATGGATTCGCTTCATTCTCCTCGTTGATTGCTTGTATTAATAGCTAGGGATTATTGGGCGTTCTCACAGGGTATCATGGGGCTTGGTTTTAACCAGTTTCTTTTGTCGATGTAAATGAAGAGGAAAGCGAAAAGGAAGCTAGACAGATGCATCTGTGCGATGCGACGCGCTCGCAGTAGCTTCACGAATTGAACGAAATACGATGACACAACGCTCCAACAATCACATCTTGTAATAACAATTGGGGCTACGCATCGATTCGAATTTTATGTTGACATCACAAGAGACTGTGAACTGAGAGGAACCTGAAGCTGTCACCGAAGGATTTCAGGAACTATTTACTCATTAGTGATGCATCAGCTCCGCAAAGATGGGCTTACTCCTTTGCTGAGCCAGCAGCGACAACATGATCGAATGCCCTTGTTGTTAATTAAATGTACGCTTGTCTTGTGGTTGTTTTTTCTGGCCCGTTTCGACCCATGTCCCCAAGAATATCAAATACCAAACGCCCCTCTTCTTGCGCTGTCATGCGCCGAAGTCTACCGCCATCTAGCACGATACTCCGCATGTTGTTCGCCACCGAGTTGCCGTTAAAAAAGCGCTCTCTAGCCTAGTAACGAATTATGGATGCCGCCTTCTCCGGGCATTAGCTTTTACTTCAGCTTCCACCTTCTTCTCGTCAGCTTTAACCTGTTCCTCCGGTTTATGCTCCTGTATCTGCTTTTCGCTCTTGGCCTCTTCGGCGTGTCGCTCAGCCTCACCATCAAACGGAATACCGTTGTTGATAGGGGGTTGAAGCCACCCCTTCTCCTCGACATCTTGAATACTCTCGATAAATATATCACCCATCAGGAAGTAGCCGGCGTCAATGGGATGCATATTGTCCTTGCCAATATGCTTCTTCTCGACGCGGTTTGGGAGACCTTGGTCATTGTGCATCTCGGCAAGCACGACGGGTTTGCCCTCACGGATCAGATCCGCTGCGACCTGCCGGATCTGCGCATTTGCCGACGTGACGCAGTCCTCGACGTTGTCCCAGGGGCTCGTAATGATGGTCGACATGATGATTGTCGCACGCGGTGAGGCTTCAAAGAGATAGTCGACGAGCGCGCGCATCTTTTGCAGGATAAAGGCGGGCCCCCAGTGGTTTTGCTGGAAACAATCGCTTGAGCCTGCATTTATCAGGATCAGGTTTGGCTGCGTCTGGGGGACGATTTCCTTGCATCGATCGAGGGTCGGCTTGATCGGTTGCGCGCCGAAGGCTTGAACATCGTTGTCAAGAAAGTCGCCGAACCGGTTCTACAAAAGGGGGCAGGGTTAGTGCTCGAGTGAAATAACCTTCGTGACGGGCAGAATTGGGTACACATACCTGGCCGACGTAGTTCACCTCGTTCCCTTGGGATACCAGCCAGTCCCGGACTTGCTTCCGGAACCCCCTTTCGCCGGTGGAGT